GCTAGCCACCTAAATGTTTAACTTAAAAATTTAGCTAGCCACCTAAATGTTTAACTTAAATTTTTAGCTATCTACCGAAATACTTAGGTTGCAACTTATTTACCTAGCAAGTTAAATATTTAGGCAGCTAGCTAAATATTTAGGTGACTAGTAAAATATGTAAGTTGCAACCTAAATATTTAGGTAGATAGCTAAAAATTTAAGTTAAATATTTAGGCAGCTAGCTAAATATTTATATTGCAAGCTAAATAGTTAAATAAAACAAAAATATTGGTGGTAATTTTTGACTGTGTAACGTTACAAACGGCAGCCCGTACTGGAGCCTCAGCGGTGGACACTATCCAGTGTTTCTGATTTCCTTCCTGGTGCTGTGGGTCTCATTTTTTTCTCTTTTTTCCTCTCTCCATCTCTTTCCAACTTCACTCCCTGTCTTTCCTTCTTTTCTCCTCCCCTTCCAGACTGCAGGTGTTAACACCACAGATAAGGAGATAGAAGTTCTCTACTTGCCCAATGTTACATTTGAGGATGCTGGGGAGTACACATGCTTGGCGGGTAATTCTATTGGGATCTCCTATCACACTGCTACTTTGACGGTGCTTCCAGGTACATGACCTCGTATGGTGTCTTTTTGTTTCTTCTTTTATCTTTTCCCTTTTTTTATTTGTAATATTAGTTACCTCCGTGCAAGGCAAGTCCTCAACATGCAATCCCATTTCAGATATTAGACGTGCAAAGATAACCACACTGATCAGAGAGCAAATATTGTATAATATTGATAATATAATGGTGAGCTCCAAGATTTGATCAAAACAGTTGAGGATTTGTCTTCAGTCTTCTCACCTCTCAACCTCAGCTTTTAATATATATGTACACACATATATAATTTGTTTTACACTTATACTATTTGTTGCCTCCTTTTCTGTTTTCTGGCTCTGATAATTGGTTCTTCTCTCTGTTAAATGTAAAAATGGAAAAGTACGAGTCAACATTTGCTTTCATGTCGGCTCACCTTTCTCAATTATCAGAGCTGAACCTCTGTTTTACAGTAAAACTCGTGCACGTGAACGTGACCCTCGTCATCCTGCTCAATCAAAGAATGATCACATGCCAAATGCTACTGCTAATCCTACATTAAGCTAACCAATAATGCTAATGCTAATTTTACAAAGGGCTATAAGTCAGGAAATTTTAAACATACACAACTAAAAATGTATACAGTACCGTAGTATCAAAAACAATCTTTAACAAAATCTAAATGCAAATTAAAAAACAAGATTCCCAACTGTTTGTCAATCATTTGGGGGTGGCCCCTGGGTGGGGGGGGGGGGCACTTGACCCCCCTCTAGCTCCGCCCCCTCTAGCTCCTCTAGCTCCGCCCCTGCTCACTCTCAACCAACTTCAGCACATTTTGAAAACAGGAAATTCAGACTTTATGTTTCTGTGCAGACGTGCTGTTCTGTTTGCACTCGCTAAGCAGTGCTGTATAAAGTACCTCAAAGTGATACTTGAGTAAAAGTACAAGTATCTTATCATAAAAATAAGTAAAAGTTAAAGTCTTCTCTAAAAATTTAACATGAGTAAAAGTCTTAAAAGTATCTGATATTTTTTGTACTTAAGTATCAAAAGTAAATTTCTGACAGTAAATCTACTTAAGTATTAAAAGTAAAAGTACTGAGTAAAAGTGAGCAGTTAGATTTTACAAAATGACATTTATTGGGAGGTGACTTCTCCAAAAACTATATTTTCTAACAGCGTGCAGCTGTGATGGGTTGTGTACAAGATAATAGTGTCAGAATGGTATATACAGTATTTATTAGGGGTGCAACAATACATGTACCTGTATCAAACAGTGCTTTAGGTTCAATACACACTTG